TGGGGCCTCCTGGCGGCCTCTTGGGGCGGAAGGCTCGAGCTTGCGGTTCGTGGTCCCCCTCTGGGCCCCCTCTTGGGCCCGTCTTGGGGCCCTCTTGGGCCATCTTGGGCGCCTCTTGGGCCGTCTTGGGGCCCTCTTGGGCTGTCCTGGGGCCCTCTTGGAAGCTTCTTGGGCCGTCTTGGGGCGGTCTTGGAGGCCTCTTGGGCCGTCTTGGACGCGGTGAAAGCCCAAGATGCGAACATGCGAAAAATATACGTTTTCCCAAAGGAATGGCACGATTTTTGTTTCTTGGACCTCTCTTGGGGTGCCTCTCGGAACGTCTTGGGCTGATTTTGGAAGCCTTTTGGCGCCTCTGGGCGGCGTTTTGGCGCCTCCTGGGATATGTTGGGCCAGAAGCTCGGAATTCGAGAGTGGCTTTCTCCTTCTGGGACCCCTCTCGAAGTCGTCTTGGGGTTCTCTTGGGCCGTCTTGGGGCCGTCCTGAGCCACTCGTGCGCAGCCTTGGAGCGCTCCCGAGGCCTCCTAGGCCGTCTTGGAGGCCTCTTGGGCCGTCTTGGACGCGGTGAAAGCCCAAGATGCGAACATGCGAAAAATATACGTTTTCCCATAGGAATGGCACGATTTTTGTTTCTTGGACCTCTCTTGGGGTGCCTCTCGGAACGTCTTGGGGTGCTTTTGAGAGCCTTTTGGCGCCTCTTGGCGGCATTTTGGCGCCTCCTGGAGCCTCTTGGGCCGGAAGCTCGGAATTCGAGGTTGGCTTTCTCCGTCTGGGACCCCTCTCGAACTCGTCTTGGGGCTCTCTTCGGCCGTCTTGGGGCCGTCCTGGGCCACTCGTGCGCAGCCTTGGAGCGCTCCCGGAGGCCTCGTAGACCGTCTTGGGCGCCTCTTGGGCCGTCTTGGACGCGGTGAAAGCCCAAGAGGCGAACATGCGAAAAATTTACGTTTTCCCATAGGAATGGCACGATTTTTGCTTCTTGGGCCTCTCTTGGGCTGCCTCTCGGAGCGTCTTGGAGGCTTCTGGGACCTTCTTGGTGTCATAACAGGCGTCTTGGAAGGCATCTGGAGCCATCGGAGCGCGTTCCGAAGCCGCCTGCGAACGATCTTGGATGGCGTCCGGCGGTCCGACGAGCCTCCGGGCCCCCTGGGGCCCACATTTGTGGTCGAGGTCCCGGCCCCGGGCCCCCGGACCCGGTGCGCCGTTACATATATATATATATATATATATATATAGAGAGAGAGAGAGAGAGAGAGATATATATATATATATATATATATATATATATATATATATATCCACATCCACCGCTTGTGGAGGTCCGCGGAGATCGACCCCCCAGGCGGTGGTTTACGGATAACTCCCCGCCGCGGAGCCCCACCCCCCGAAGCCCAGGTTTGAGCCACCGACCTCCCCGACCCCCTCTGGCCCCTGCCTGCTCGTCGCTTTTGTACTTTTCTTCCTTCCCTCCCCGACGGAGCACGGACGCACAGACGAAGGGCAAGCGGGCAAACAAGTGAGCAAGCACCAACGAACGCAGCGAGTCTTGCACACAAGCGAGTTGGCAATCCAAGAACCAGGCAAGGAAGCATCCAAACAAGCAGCACATAGTGCAAGGAATCGCGCGAGCAGACGCACAAGTAAGAACGCGGGTACGCAAAACATCACCCAAGCAAGCAAGGACTTCAGCAAGCAATCATGCAAACTGAGTAGTGCAAAGCGAGCAACTGCACGCCCGCTCGCGAAAGACACAAACCCGCCACCGTGCCTCCACACGGAGTGGGCGTGCCGGAATGCTCGTCTGCTACCCGGTAAGGCTTGTCGGTGCTGCCCAGGGCCGACCCCCGCCCTCGTCGCAATCCCCCCAGGAACTCGTCCCGAGACTGCCTCGAGACAGCCCAGGTGCCTCCAATGGCGGCCCTCCAGGGCTTCCATTGGGACCCTCCAGGGAGAGCCCCGGGACGCCAAAACCCATGACTTTTCCCCCCCCGGCGTTTGAAGGACTCGGAGGTTCTCGCCTGTGTGGGTCCGAAGGCAGCCCCTCGTCACTCCTCCGGTCCTCTTGCATGCTCCCTGCGCGATCTGCGAGCGCAGTGATGCCCGCCGCCCAGCACGGGTCCATGTACAGTGGCTCTGTTCCGGCGCGCACGCACTCAGCACCATCGCTGTGCGCTTTCTCTGGGCTTTCGCTTGCCGTGCAGGTCGTGCCGATGCGCCGTCTGGGCGCGGTTTCTTCCTGCCTCGGGGGGGACGCGAGGGTAGGATAGCAGATAGGGTAGAGAATCAGCTCACGCAGCTGGTTTTCCTGGCGCTCCCTGGCGCCAGAAGGCGCCCAGCTTATCGAGGAGTGGGTCCGGCAGCGGGGCGAGAATCAAGTGCATGCAGCAAATTTCGCACCCCTCCTTTCCATATCATGGGGTAAACGGGTCCTGCGGGAAACGGGTCCTGGACCCTTCGGCCTTCCCCCAAGACGAGGCCTTCATCCTGAGCCGTCTTCTGACAGTCCTGGGGCCCGTGGAGAGCCCTGGGAAGCCAAGAACAACAGAAAACCTCAAGATCCGTTTCTCTCCGGACCCGTTCCCCCCATGGCGAATGTCGCACCCCCCCCCCTCTCCTGATCCTGCCCTTTCGTCCAGCCCCACGGCCCTGCCGCCCTGCCGGACCCCCCGGCGAGCGCGCCTTCGTGCAGCGGCCAGGCCAGCGCTCAAACATGCACGGCCTGCACATCTCCTTCCGCCGGGCGGGGAAAGCGGCGGGGCACGAGAGCACAGGAGCACCCGATGGAGCAGGAGGAGGAGGACGACGACGACGACGAGGACGAGGAGGACGAGGAGGAGGACGACGACGACGACGACGACGACGACGACGACGACGACGACGACGACGACGGCGACGACGACGAAGACGAGGAGAGAAAAAAGAGACGACTGACGCCGAGAGCAAGCGTGCGTTCGGCAGCCTGCGCAAGAAGGGAGGAAGACGACAACGAGGCAGAGGAGGAGAAGGCCGAGGCGGATGAGGAGGAGGCGGAGGAGGAGGAGGCGGAGGAGGAGGAGGAGGAGCAGAGGAGGAGGCCGAGGCGGAGGAGGAGGTGGCGGAGGCGGCGGCGGAGCCGCCGCCACCGAGGCGGAGCAGGAGATAGGAGAGCTGCACGGCGTGCGCGGGCGCGGCGTGGCGCGGCGCGCGCGGGTGCCGCCCGCTTGCCCCCGGGGGCCCCCTCGGGCTCGGGACCACTCGGGGGTCGTGACCGGGGGGCGAAAGAAGGCGCAGGGCTGCCTCCTCGCGTCGCGAGAAAGCCACGACGGGAGGAGCTTGCCAATTCGTCGGGTGCGCCGGCGCCCAGGTGGCGCGAAGAATCCGCGCCACGGAAAGAGAGAGCCAAGCTACCGCCCGCTCTGCTCTGCAGGGGTCGATGGTGAACGTTTTGTTATTCGGCGTTTCGACATCGGGCGGGAGGAGGGGGAGAGGGGGGTCTGGCTCCGGACCTCTGCTTAGTGCGACTGTTTGCAGTGGTGGGTCCTATGGAGGAGGCTCCACCTTGAAACAGGCGCCAAAAACAGCCAAGGTCTACTCCACGGGGGGGCGGGGGAGGGGGGGTGCGAGGGCCCGCGCCGATTGGCAAAACAATGAACAAGAAAACGATCACATACTCAGACTTCTGCTTTGAGGCTCTGGCTGCCCAAGGTTGGCGGCGCGCGCAAGAGGGTAAGAGAAGGGGGGAAGGCTTCTCACAAGCAAGCCACTTCTTAGAAGGCGTCGGCCTTACACCTACAGACAAGGCCCGCGCCTTCTAAGAAGCAGGGGTGCTTCTAAGAAGCCTTCCCCCCTCCCCCATACCCCCCCCCTCTTCGCGTGGCTGACAAGGGCTCCTCACGACACGGCCCGTTCCACAGGAGTGCGCGGCCTTCGCCCCGACCTTCGCCCTCGGGCGCGGCAGCTCCGGGGCCTCGTGGCCCCCGCGGGGCCCTCTCGGGTGTGCGGCGCGGCCCCTGCCGGCGCTTGGCGGCACATGGCCTGTGGTTCCCCCGTGGGCTCCGTCGCGAGCCCCTCGTTTTTGCAGCGCGGTGCCAAGACCTGTCGCTGCCTGTGCCCTGCCTGCTGGAACTGCCTGGCCGCGCGCACCTCTGAGATGCTCAAAGGTGCGGGCCTCGGGGGCTGCTAGCGCCCCAGGGCCAGGAAGGCTGCGGAATACAGATTCGCAACAAGACTGCCTGTGTTTCCTTGGATCCACCAGCCATCCCCAACCTCCAACCATCCCAAACCTCCCCCCTGGGCTCCGTCGCGGGCCCACCCACCCGCACGTGGCGGGGTTCCCCGACCTCCAGCTCTGGCTCTAGCGGCCCGTGGCATGCGGCCCACCGTCGTGTGTGGGGCGGTGCCCGCTTTTCGATGCCGATGCTTCAGGCGGGGCGAAATCGGCACCACGGCTCACCGTGCCCTCCTCCGCCCCATCGTCCCGCTCGTCCCAGCCGACCGCCCCCCTAGGAGGAGGAGGAGGAGGAGGAGGAGGAGGAGGAGGAGAAGGAGGAGGAGGAGGAGGACGACGACGACGACGAGAAGGAGGAGGAGGACGGAGGAGGAGGGAGGAGGAGGAGGGAGGAGGAGGGAGGAGGGAGGAGGGAGGAGGAGGGAGGAGGGAGGAGGAGGGACTGCTCGCCCTGCTGCCGCTGTTCCTTCTCGTCCTCCCCCCCCCGCTCTTGCTCGTCCCTGCCCTCCCCGCTCCCCTGCTCGCCCTCCTCGTCCCCGCTCTGCCCTGCGCCCTCCCGGGCGCCCTCCTCCCTCCTCGTCCTCCTCCCTGCCCCCACATCCAGCACTGTGGATGCCACGACAATGGACACCCTAACAGTCCTGTCCTTGAAATCAACATGTCTTTAACGTGTAGGAAACATGTTCTAGACATGTTTTTGGACATCTGGAAATGATTTGGCAACACGCTTCCTCTCCACTGCACAAATCCAGCACTGCCCGCCCCCACTCCCGACACTCCGCGCCCGTCTTCGGCGCTCCTTGCAGGGCCCGAACACGGCGTGCCTGGAGGACCCGAAGGAGACGGGGGCCTGGCGTCGCAGGCGCCACTCCTCCCTCCCCCGAGGCCTGACGCTGCTGAAAGGGGCCCAGGGGCACACAAGCAAATAGACACAAACAACAGGATTGCCCATATTGTCCTGCATGTTCTGGGTTCTCGTCTTCCCCCCCACTTCCCATATGTTCCCTTATCTTCCTGGGGGTCGACGATTCATTGTGTCTGTGTGTTTCTTTCCCTCCCGAGTTGCCAGAAATATGCAACACCACGAAAATCACGACCAGAGCCCCAAAGCCCATCTTCCTGCGTCATTCTTCGAGCCGGCTCGGAGGCCCCAACCCGGGCGACAACGCCCATCGTCAAAAAGCTGCACCGCCGGGATCTCGGGCTCCCGCCCCCCGACGCCTGCCGCCGTTCCTCGTTAGGGGACCACATGCGAACCCTACCCCACCCTCCCCCTCAGAAATCGTGGGGGGCAGGGGTAGGGTTCGCATGTGGCCCCCTACTCGTTCCACGCACCCCCACGTCGCCAGGGCCGCCCACAGCGGCCGCCAGACCCGAGCGCCGGCCGAGCCGCCATCGAGGCCGAGGCCGACCGCGACGGGCCGCACGGCAGGCTGGGAGGGCGTGGGCGCCACCGCACCGAGCCGAACGGGCCGAGCCGTCCGAACGCAGCCGACCGCGGTGCAGCCGGACGGACCGCCCCGCGGACGCCCGAGGAGCGGGGACGACGGGCCGCGGCGCAGCCTGGAAGGGCCGCAGGCGGCGCGGCGCGGCAGGCGCCTTCGTGGCAACAAGCCGAGCAGACTGAGCCGTGCGAGCGCAGCCGACCGCGATGGGGTGCGGGCGCCCTGAGCACGAGAGCGGCGCACATGCACCGTACCATGTTTGGACTGCCTTCGGGCCCCGCTCCGAGGCTGTACGTCGCACAGTGTCTCGGCCGTGTGGGGGCCGAGCACCTCTATGCACCGTACGGCAGGACCTGGGACAGAAAAGCATCCTCCAAAAACATGGGACTTTCCGCCAGACAAAACGGAAGAACCTTCGAGGGTACCCCTCCCCCTGGGATGCACAAGAACAGCCATCAAGCACGAAGAACACTGGGGTACCCTCCCCGACCCAACGTCGATCGTATACCTCCAACCTCGAGCTTACACCGCGGTCCGACCGTACCACTCCTGGGTCGAAGTTCGACAACGCCTCAGGAGACGCCAACGCGGCACGGTGCACACAACTCGTCCGCGGACTGAATCGCCCTTGCCCGCCATCCTCCCCTCTCGTGCGCCTCCCTCCCTCCCTCCCATCTCCACACACCCTCTTCCACATCATCCCCCGCTTCTCGCCGGGGCAGCATCAGGGCGGAAACATCGCCGATCCATCGGCGATGGGCTCCCGATCGCGAGCCCGCTCGCTCCCAGGCGGGGTGAGCCATGGGGCCTCTGCCGCCGATCAGTGGGCGATCAGGGGTCCATGCCTACCCTCCTCGAGCCCATCCCCCTCTGACGCTGCGCCCTGCCCGATCCTCCTCCGAAGCCAGCGCCGGGGGCACCCGTGGCCCTCCCTGCGTGCGAGTCTTCGCGGGGAGCCGAGGGCGCGCCCACGCCCGCGGGCACACTGCTCTGCAGGGACGCCGCGCGCCGCCACTGTGGGACGAGGCGGGGCAGCGATGTCGCGACTGGCGCTGTCGGGCCCGCCTTTTCTCTGAAGGCCTGGAAATGGGCACCAACACCAACATCGGCGATGAGCCTCCACAGGCGGAAGATGATCCTCGATTTCGGTGTTGGTGGTAATGTTTCGGTCACCTTGGACGCCAAAAATATCACCACCATCGCCGAGATCTGGATCTACCCCCCTCGGTGGAGGCACACCGCCGATGTTGGTGTTGGCGTCAACCGCTGAGCCTGCGATTTCTGCGACACTGCTCCAGCCACACCGGCACGCGAGGGAGCCGAGGCCCCAACATCGGGCAGATGCGCCCGTGGCGAGCTTCTCGCGACGCCCAGATCCGGGAGAAGCGCGGCCAGACCCGCCCGCCTCGGGCAGGGGCGCCCGCGGCGACGGCAAGAAGCCGAGAGCCGCCCGAAGCGGCAGCGACGCCGAGACCGACCGAAGCCGACGGACGGACCGGGCCGCAGGCGATCGCGAATCCGAGGCAGCCCAACCGACCGACCAGCGGGCACCCTTTGTGATGGGCAAATGGTCCACCACCGCCACTACCATGGATAGGACGGGGGCGAAGGCGGAATGGGGAGGTCCTCCTCATCCTCCTCCTCCTCCTCCTCCCCCTCCTCCTCCTCCTCCTCCGCCTCCTCCTCCTCCTCCTCCTCCTCCTCCCTCCTCCTCCTCCTCCTCCTCCTCCTCCTCCTCCTCCTCCTCCTCCTCCTCCTCCCCCTCCTCCTCCCTGTGGTCGTGGAGGTGGAGAAAAACTGCCCACATCACTCTGCATGCGAGCCCCGGCGGCAGAGCGGCGGCAGAGCGGCGGGGCGGGCGGGGCGCGCGCGCGCGAGGCTCGCTTGGCCGCCCGCCTCCGGCCGGACCTGCCCGAGCCTGAGGACGTCGCTCAGGTGCAGGCACTGCGGCCGCGCCGGGGGCAGGCGCGAGGCCAGGCGGCGGCAAGTTGCGAGGACATCCCACGCGAGGGCGCGCTTTCCGAATAGATCCCTACATCTCTATATATATACAAGATTTTACCGGCTCGCTTCGCTTCGCCTTTAAAATCTTGGTCGCATGGCGTCAGCGAGGTTCGCCTCGACCCGTGGTCGCACGCACCGCGGTCTGATTTGGCAATGAGGCTCACGGGGCCCATAGGGCTCGTACAGTGCGTTGAGGGGATGGATGTAGCATGGCTCCGCGTCAGGCCTGAGGCGAAAAAGAACGGCGCGAGGTTCACGAGGCATGTTGTCTGTGTCGTCGACGAGAGCAGCGACCTCGGCTACGGCGGGGCGGTACTGCAAACGGATGGCCACCTCCTGGGGGCTCCGCGCGGTGTTGAAGACGCGATGGAGTGATTGCATGTAGGGGTTCTGTTCGAGGATGAGGGTCTCTAAACGTCGCAGCAAGTGTCCGGGTAGTCCCATCTTTGCGCCAGTGGACGCGCGCTCGGCAGGGTCGATGAGCAAGTACCGCAGGGGCGTCACCACGTCTGGGTTGAACACTTTTCGGTACATGGTCCCGTGGATGCGGATGTTTGACGGGCTCAGCTCGCTCCCGAAGCGCAGCTCTTTGATCTGAGTGGAGCTTTGCACTTCGTGCATCGCCAGTGAGAACATGTTGTTGAATCGTCGTGAGTGAGCTGAAAAACTCGTCAACCGAGGGGCATTCGTAGTAGGGTCATGGACGGGCCTTCCAGCGGCGTCCTTGTAGGTCCAAGTGGTGCTGAAGAGTCGGAGGAGGTCGGGACCGGGTCGAGGGAAGAACATATCGAAGTCGACGACGTATTTGCCGCCGCTGCAGCAGAAGCCGTGTACCTCATGTGCGAAAAGGAGGGCGCCACAGTGCGTGCAAGAATGGCTTTGAAGGCCCAGGTCGTGGGTGGTTCGAGGTCGTCCCCCTGATGGACCGGAGCCAATACACACTGAGCACGCCGGCACTCTCGCAGGTGCATCGCGCTGGGCGTTCGAAAATGCATCCCTTGGCTGCGCCACGCCGCATCTGGAGCACGTGAATGTTGTCGGGCTTTGTCGTTGGTTGTCGGCGGCGCACTCTCGGCAAGTATGATCTCCCGTGTGTAGGCGCCTCGTGGCGAAGTCGGAGTGGGTTTTGGCCACTCCGCAGACGGAGCACGTCAGTGTGGCCGCGGCTGGTCTACCGCGCCGTCCGGCCGGTGGGGGCACGGATCTCGGAGTCGCGCTCATGGTTTGAGCCGTGCGGGCGGCGGAATCAGCCAGGGCTCATAGGGCTCACAGGGCTCAGAAGGCGCATATGGCCATAGGGATCATAGGGGTCGTAGGGCTCATGGGGCTCACAGGGGCTCGTAGGGCTCGTTGGGCTCATAGTGCTCGTGGGGCTCATAGGGGTCCTAGGGCTCATAGGGTGCATAGGGCTCGCAGGGCTCGTAGGGCTCATTGGGGTCATAGGGCTCGTAGGGCTCATAGAGCTCATAGGGCTCATAGGGCTTGGTGGCTTCATAGGGCTTGGAGGGCTCGCAGGGCTCCTAGGTGTCGTAGTTCGCACAGGGCTCGTAGGGCTCATAGGGCTCATGAGGCTCACAAGGGTCATAGGGCCTATAGGGCTCGTATGGCTCATACGGTTCATTGGGCTCGTGGGGCTCAGAGGTCTCGTAGATATCATAGGTCTCACACGGCCCATAGGGCTCATAGGGTCCCTACGGCTCATAGGGCTCGTAGGGCTCATAGGGGTCACAGCGCTCGTAAGGCTTATAGGGGTCATAGGGCTCATAGGGCTCATATGTATCGTAGGGCTCATAGTGCTCATAAGGCTGCCACGTAATAGGTCTCAAAAGGCACATAGGGTTCATAGGGGTCGTAGGGCTCATAGGGCTTAGTGGGCCCATAGGCATCGTAGGGCTCATAGTGCGCATAGGGCTCATAGGGCTCATAGGGCTCGGAGGGCTCGTAGGGCTCGTAGGGTTCATAGGGCTCATAGGGCTCATAGGGCTCATAGGGCTCATGCGTCTCATAGGGCTCATGGGGCTCATAGGGCTCTCCGGGGGCACGGGGCTCATAGGGCTCAGTGGGTTCATAGGGCTCATAGGGCTCGTAAGGCTCAGTGGGCTCATAAGGCTCACAGGGCGCGTAGGGCTCATAGGGCTCTGGGTGCTCCCAGGGCTCGTTGTTGCCGTGGGGGGATCACCATGATTTTTCAAATGTTGGGTAGGATTACTGTTGGGACTGGCGGGGGCGGGAGAGGCGCAAGCATGGCGGAGAAGGCGGAGTACAGCATGGAGAGTGTAAGAGGAGAGGAGGAGGAGGAGCGCGAGGCGGCGAGGCGGCCCTGTAGCGGGGCGGTCAGCTGTCGCGTCTACGCGAACGGCACGCCGTCGTCCTTGTGCAGTTTGGGCAGGCGCGGACGCAGGCAGAAAGCCATTGTGAGGTCCCGCAGTCGGAGCGGTTTTTGTCCTGGGCCGAAGCGGCCACTAATCCACTCCAGGTGCCGGCGCGCCGCGGCGAAGTTCAGAATGCCGAGCTCGGCAGCGCCCTCGGCGGTTCCAGGGAGATAGCGCGCGATAGTGTCCCAGTCCTCGGCGGACCATTCCGTGTCGACCGTCCTGGAAGCCAGGGCGGTGTGCCCCCCACTGGGCGCGACGTGTCCCAGCGAGTCTCCTTCACGGGGTAGGCGCGGACAGCTGCTGCCATGGCGAGTGCGTTGGCCTCTGTTGGCTCGGTGGAGGCCGCGGCCAGCGCCGCTAGGGCGGCGCAAACAGGCCGACGGCGAGGCACGATGTGCAGCAAGGACAGCCACCACAGCGCGTGGGATTCGGTGCAAGCCGGTCTGGAGCGAAGCTCGTCGTACGCGTGGTACATGGTGACCACGTCGGCGCGCTGGTCCATGCGAGTCCACACGGACAACGCAGCCGATGCGTCCCGGAGAAGGTTGTCTGCAAAGTCCTGGAAGTCCGGGTCTGGCCGCCAGGGTGGTTCTCTGGCAGGGCCAGGACCCTCCGGTGACGAGGCCTCGGCGTCCGCAGCAGGGGGCTCGTCAGCGATGGGAAACGTCGCTGGCGCGTCCTCGATGGCGAGGATGGGGTCTACGCAAGGAAGGTCGGCATCGGCGTCGTCGCCCGCGCGCAGTGCGACGAGCTCAGCCTCCAGTGTCCGAATCTTCCGAAGAGCCCAAGAGGTATCCGTGCGCGGCGGTGGGTCGGGCTCCGTCCAATGCGCGGCCAAGCGCTGCAGCAAGATGCTGCGGGCTCCGCCGCACGGAACGCCATTGGCGCTGCAAGTGGACGAAAGAGTTGCCCACGACGCCGCAAAAATTGCATCGTCGATCGTGGTCAAAGGCGGCACGCCACCTGTGGAACAGCGATGCTTGCGTTTGGCGGGCGGGTTTGCTGCCATGGGGAACGCAAACACAGCAGAGCGCGAAGGGAAAGAAGTTCGAGCCGAGTGGCCACTGGGATTGGGCGAGCAGCAAATGTGCGGAAGAAGGATTTGCAGAGAAGCACACGAGGGAGGTAGAGAAGGCAGAGAGAGGGGGAGAAGGGGAGCGAAGTAAAGTACGAGGACGCTGCAGAGGCGCATGGATTCGAGCAGGGATGTGGCCTGACCGGACGGGCTTGGCAGTGCTCTTTCGCCATGTCCTGCCTCCACTTCAGCGTGCGGTTTGTAGGGCTCGTCAGCCCGAGAACTTCCGGAGGACGGTGCAGGGCTCGTAGGGCTCATGGGGGTCATGTAGCAGCATAGGGGAGCATGTGGCTCATGTAGCTCACAGAGGGCACATGCAGAAAGGGAGCAGTGGTACCGCAGGATTAGAGCTGACTTGCGGCCCTGTTGGAACTCTCTTTGGCTGTCTTGGGCGTGTCTTCGGCTGTCTTGGGGCTGTCTTGGGGCCGTCTTGGGCTCATAGGGCGCATAGGGCTCATAGGGCTCGTAGGGCTCAAAGGGCTCGTAGAGCTCACTCGGTTCATAGGTCTCGTAGGGCTCACAGGGCTCATGGGGCTCATAGGGCTCATAGGGCTCATAGGGCTCATAGGGCTCGTAGGGCTCGTAGGGCTCGTAGGGCGCATGGGGCTCATAGGGCCCGTAGGGCTCATAGGGGCCATCAGGCTCATAGGGCTCTTGGGGCCCGTAGGGCTCACAGTGCTTGCAGGGCTCATGGGGCTAATAGGGCTCGCAGGACTCGTAGGGCTCATAGGGCTCATATGGCTCAGTGGGTCCATAGGGCTCACAGGGCTCATAGGGCTCGTAGGGCTCATGGGGCTCATAGGGCTCATAGGGCTCATAGGGCTCATAGGGCTCACCGGGGTCACGGGGCTCATAGGGCTCATAGGGCTCATCGGGCTGACACGGCTCATAAGGCTCATAGGGCTCATGGGGCTCACACGGATCGTAAGGATCATAGGGCGCACAGGGCTCATGGGGCTCGTAGGGCTCCTCATAGGGCTCATAGGGCTCATAGGGCTCGTAGGGGTCATAGGGCTCATAGAGCGCATAGGGCTCGTAGGGCTCATCGGGCTCATAGGGCTCGTAGGGCTCAAAGGGCTCATGGGGCTCATAAGGCCCGTAGGGTTCATAGGGATCGTAGGGGTCGTAGGGCGCATAGGGCTCATAGGGTCCATAGGGCTCATAGGGGGGCTCGCGGAGCTTGCACGTCTTGTCGACTCATTGTTGCCGTCGTGGAAGCCCAGGGCACAAATGAGGTGGAAGCGTATCTATTTCCGAAGGATGTTAATGACTGTAGCTTCCTGGGGCCGCATTGGGAGACCCTTGGGTGCGTTATTGAGCCGTCTTGGGGGCTGTTTTGGGGATCCCTGGGGGCATTTTTTGGGCCTCTCGGGGGCTTGAGACCTGATTGGGGCGTCTGGGGAGAGTCTGGGGCCTCTCGGGGGCCTCTTGGTGCGTCATGTTCCTCCTTTTCGGCTTCTGTTGGGGGAGTCTTGGGGCCTCCTGGGCTCGTCCCGGGCGCTCGTTGGAGAGTCTTGAGGCCGTCTTGGGCCGTCCTGGGGCTGTCGTGGGGACCTCTTGTGCCTCCTTTGGGCGGTTTTGGGGGCCTATGGGGCCGTCGTGAAGTGCAGAAAGCGGAGAAAGCGGAAACGGCCAAATACTCGGAAAAACTATACGAAATTGACGAAATTAGTCTCTCGAAGCCTTCTTGGGGAGCCTCTCTGAGCTCTCTTGGGACCTCATGGGAGCCTTTTGGGCCGTGTGTGGTCCCTCTGTGAGCGCTCATGGGCCGTCCCGGAGCGATCTTGGGCCGTCTCGGGTCTCCCCGGGACCGTCCGGGAAGCGTTCGTGGGCCCGGCCGAGCGGCGCAGGGTGGCCTGGAGGGGGTCCGAATCCGAACTTTCGACTTTCACGTCCGAGGGGCCGAATTTATGTACGGGGGGGGGGGTTTTCCTTATAAGAATATTCGAGAAGGAATATACACACACATTCTATATATCAAAAAAAAGGACGTCCCGCGCGAGAGAGCGCTTTTGAGTGAATTGCGAGGACGTCTCTGGCAGAAAAGAAGGTTTTGTTATTCCCCCCCGTAACTCGGTGGCGAGCGAGAGGGGGGGACGTGAGGAGGAGAAGGCCTGCTCAGAAGGCGGCGGGGCTTCTCAGAAGCCCTCGCGCCCTCTGAGAAGTTTTGTTTGCGTCCCCCAGGGAGGCTTGGAAATCTTCTCAGAAGGCCTGGCGGACTTCTGAGCTTCCTGAGAAGGCCCGCCCCCTGTCGCTTCCCCCCCGGGCTCGCCGCCGAATCAATGATCCTCCGAGCGCGTGTCGGCGCCAGCGTGTGGCTGTCCACCGCAGCCCTCCAGTGCGACGCAGGCGGTGCAACGGGGGCCAAAACAGGCGGCGGGCGATCGGCGGAGCCGAAGTGGATAAACACACACACACACACACACACACACACGCACTTGGGCTAACACAGGTCCTGATGATCATCGAATCGAGGCCAGCCAACTTCTTCACGTTTCGCGCCGCGCGAACCGCGGGTCTCTCCGCACCCTAACTCCGCCCCCTGGAGAAGCACGGCTCGGCCGCGAAGCGCGACGCGCAGTCATCTTCGCTCCCCTGTGGGCGACCGAGGAGAACCAGCTGCCATTCCCAACGGTGCCAGCGCTGTGAGATGGCTTGCAAAGCTGAGGCGTCCGTCATACCCCTGGCCGCTGCGCCCATATCCACGGGGCGAAGGGTCAAGATCTCGTGCAGAGCAGGGTCAATTCACCCTCCACCTGGGATGGGGTCGTAGCGCCGCGCACTCGTGGCCGCCGCTGAATACGCGCCAGAAAAGGCAAATTCCTAACACACCGAACATGAATCCCTGAGCACAACCACTGCCTAGAGGATTGCGCGGCGGGGATTCACCCAGATCCACCGCCTGGGGGACCGATGTCCTGGGACCCGAGGGGGCGGCGGAGATTGCCTCGTTTGGGCCCAGGGGGGGCCCGCATCTATCCCTGTCCACCGCCTGCCGAGGTCCCCGAAGGTGGATCCTCCAGGCGGTGGTTATGGATATAGATAGATCCCCGCCTTGGATCGACACCCCAGCGTCGACTGTACCCGAAGGGGTCGGGGTCGCCAAAGGGCCGCGGGCAGACGCTGTCCCTCCCCCCCCTGAGAAGCGGCGGGCCTCCTTAGAAGGCCGATCCCCGGCCTCAGGGACGACTTCAGGGTGGAGATAGGCTCAGGAGGAGGAGGAGGAAAAAGAGGTATGGAGGAGGAGAAGGAGGGGGAGGAGGAGGAGGAGGAGGAGGAGAGGAGAGGAGGAGGAGGGAGGAGGAGAGGAGGGGGAGGGGGAGGAGGAGGGGGAGGAGGAGGAGGAGGAGGAGGAGGAGGAGGAGGAGGACGAGGAGGAGGAGGGGTAAAAGGAAGAGGAGGGGGAGGAGGAGGAGGTATGGAGGAGGGGTGGAGGAGAGGGCCGCGCGGAGACCGCGCGCCGCCCCGACCACGACCACAACCACGACCACGACCACGACGACGACGACGACGACGCCGACGACGACGACGACGCCGACGACGACGACGACGACGACGCCGCCGACGACGACGACGACGACGCCGACGACAACGACGACGCCGACGGCGACGACGACGCCGACGACGACGACGACGACGACGCCGCGGCCGACGACCATGATGGCGGCGGCGCCGCCGCCGCCGCCGCCGCCGACGACGACGACGACGACCCCCACTTCGCCCGTTCATCGCACATGGGGCCCCCACAGCCCACCCCGCAGAAGAGACGCGCGGATTCGCCATCCGGGGAGCCCATCGCCGCTCCATCGGCGACGCACCGTCGACTCCAGAGGAGACCACCCGATCGCAGACGAGCGCATCCCCTATGTTGGAGGCCTGGGAATGGGCACCAACACCAACACAGGGGGTTGCCTCCACAGGGGGAGGATGATCCTAGATTTCAGTGTTGGTGGCAAGATTTCGGTCACCTTGGAAGCCAAACTATTACCACCATGACCGAGATCGGGATCTTCTTCCCACGGTGGATGCACACCGCCGATGTTGGTGCTGGTGCCAATCTCCAGGCCTGCGACCATGGGGAAGCCGAAAAGCACCGATACCGCGACTCCCCGACCTCTTCTGGGGTGCGTCCTGATGAGACTTGCGAAGCGAATCCAGCGGCGGGGACGGGGGCTTCCCAGGAAGCCGAGAACAAGAGAAGTATGGGCGAAGGGTAGCGGTATGGGCACCTCTTCCTCCTGTGACCCTTGGGGGAAGGGAGGGGGGGGGGGGGGGCGAAGCGCACCGCCCAGCACCGAGCACGACAGAGAAGGCCCCGCCGAGGCGCGCACGGAGCTTCCGCCCGCCGGGGCCCCCTTTCGCCCAGGGGAGCCGAGGCAGAGCCCCTGCTGGCCAGCCTCGCCTCGGGAAGGGGGCGAGGCTCCGTCAGCGAAGAGGGGCCGCTCCGTCAGCGAAGAGGGCCCCAAACGGCGAGGCAAAGGGCAGTCCGCTCCAGCGCGGGGCTAATCGGGGCAACCGATAGGCAAATCGTGATCGAGAGGCGAAGGCGAGGGCGGCCGCGCGAAGGGCCGATTGGGAAAGCGCTCGGTCGTGGAAGAGTTCCGCGGTGAGCGGGCCGGAGCGGCCAGCCAGGGCAGTAAGGCCACACACGCACACACACACACACAAACACAAACACACACACACACACACACCTTTACCGGTATGCCGCTCGGCCCCGACGTCTTCGACGTTTGCGTGCGACGGCGGTGGCAGATCCGTGCGTTGCCATCCAGACGACTACGCACGGCGTCATCAACCTCTCAGCTGATGCCTGACCCTGAGATTGCCGAGCCCAAAGGCGGTGACGATCTCAGGGATGCGCTCGCAGAATGTGTGAGAACCCTCGTGAAAAGATCGTCACTTCGGCGAGCCGGTACCAGCTGTAGGGACGGGGATGCGATGCAGGCTGGCAACCTGCGATAGTGCTCACGGCGGAGCGCGGAGGGCAGACCACGAGCACTGCCCGCTAGGTGGCCCGGCCTGGCCTCACGCGCATGCTTGGTGCAGGTCACGGGGTCGGCTTGACAGCATGCTTTTATGAGGGAGATCCGGAAGGCCTCGCGCGGCAACCTGAGACCAAGTTTTCCGGTTGATCCACATCGGACTCACGTCGGATTCACGTCGAATTTACGGCGGACTCTCGTCGGATGTACGTCGAATTCACGTCAGATTTACGTCGGACTTACGTCGGAACATCGCCGCGCGAACGTCGTCGCATGTCTGACGGGGTGGACGTGTGAACCATATAATGCAACTATTGCGCGCCGCGCGAGGCCTCCAGGATTATCCCCGTAGCATGCTGCATCAGGGCCCCGTGGCGTTTTGCAACACGGCGCTGCACGGCGCGCTTGTGCTGGTGTTGATTGAGCACGTCATTGTTCCATCACTGTCGGCGCTGCGGGACTCCAATGCCTGCCTGCCGACCGCAGAGAGCGCCCGGGGGGGGGGGGGGGGCGCGCCATCTCAAAGCCATCCCAACCTCCCAACGCCGCCCCTCTCGTCGGGGTCCTAAAAACCCTGAACCAAAAAACCTTGTGAGGGGCCACGATCGGGGGGGACTGGCATAGGGGGGAAACATCGACCTGGAATCGGCGATACATCGCCGATAGATCGGCGATAGGCCCCCGATAGCGAATCCGCACATTCCCGGGCGGGGTGGGACTATCAGAGCCCTATCGGCGATCACTGGGCGATACATAGGGGATCGATGCCTCCCACCCGATGCCTCTCCCCCACTGTGGTTGCCACTGACCTTGCCATCCATTGGGAGGCCGATGCTTTCTTTCCGCAGGTTTGCGCCCGCCTTCCGCCCGCCTTCCGCCGGCAGATGCGGCTGCGTTGTCTGTTTCCGCCGCGCCTGCCGCCGCCCCTTTCGCCGCCCTTCCGCCGAGGAAGAGATGCCGACTACCTCGATCCTCGAAGGCGAGGCCCCTCCTGGAACGCTCCCTTTATAAAGAAAAGGAAGAGAAAGAGAGAGAGAGACAGACAGAGACAGAGACAGAGACAGAGCAGCGGCAATGGGCAGGCAACAAAATGACGTGGGGCCAGAGGGTGGCCTTCTGCCCGCTGCGGATCGCCACGGGAGTGCCGCCTGCAGGAGTCCGGCCGAGCTGGCGCTGGGGGGGGTCGAGCGCTGAAACCCCGCAGCAGTGCCGCCCCGCCACTGCGCTGACCCCAGCCTCCTCCCTTCATCCTCGACCGCGCGGCATAGTTTAGGGCAATGTAGCGGTACGTTTGGATTGGCATCGAGCAAACGATTCAGAAAAGACACGTTTGCCCACGTGTCCCCACTCTCTCTCATCTGATTACTCCACAAGTCCCCAGCAGCGCACTTCTTAAATCGCTTGACCAAGGCACTGTGTGCGGCTCTGTCCTAATATCGACGAGCATTCCGTATAGCGACATAAGATGGAATGTGCGATTGCCAGAACATTAGCCAGCGCGGACACCACACCGTGTGGTTCTAACAATATGTGTGGCGCAATATATGTGGAACAATATAGGCGCTGCGATGTACATATATATATATATATATATATATGTAGCAAGCTACGTGTTGCAATCCATGGTGTGCAATCTACGTTGTGAAATCTTGTATGCTGTGCACTATACAATGTACAATTGATGTTGTGCGATCTACGTGGTGCAATATATGTGGTGCAATGTATGTGATGCAATCGTTGTGGGGCAATAGATGTTGTGCAATATGTGGTGCAAGTGTGCGGTGCAATACATGTGGTACAATCGAATTTTACAACTGGAATGACAAATTCCATGCCCATGCAAACATCCCACCCACCCACCCGCAATTGAGTTTGCAAAACACATGCGGCGGCGATTGCGATGAGTGCTTGGCGTTGGCTGGTGCATCTCTGCGGCCGCGTTAGCCCGCGCATGCTCGCACGCACAGCGGCCAGCTAGTTTGGCGCGACCGACGCGGCCATGAAGGTTTTTGAAGGAGGTCGACATGCACGCGCGGCCGACGGTCGCGAGTGGCCCGCGTGGTGGTATTTGATACGGATCGTGCCCCCCCCCAGCACGCGCGAATGAGTTCGACATGCGGCGCGAGAGGCCCGTTTGGCAGAATTTGATGAAAATGTTGGAAGCCCGATGATTATCTTCAGAATCCGCACGGCCGCGAGCGCAGGATTTATTTGAAAATTGATGTTGCAAACTCATGTTTTGGATATGTTTTCGGGGCACTAGTTAAATCCTTACAATAACGTCCGGTTGTTGAAGGATTTCGGCATGCGCGCGCGACGACGCGCGCGTGCACTTCGTCCCATGTGTTGCAAGGGATTCTTGCGACAGCACGCGCGCAAGGGGCGTTCGAACGATTCCGACAGGCCGATCCTCCACGTGCTGGCGCACGTGGGTGCAGCCCCGGGGCACTGCTCCGCGGGCGCGTGGCCGAGCAGCTCGTGGCTGCACATAACGGCCGCCGATGCTGCCGCACATGCCTGGGCGGAGAGGGCGCTTATGTCGTTCGGCCGAAGAGGGCTACCGAGCCATGTGGCCCAAGAAGGCTCCAAGACGGCCCCGAGGAAGAGGAGGAGGAGGAGGAGGAGGAGGAGGAGGAGGAGGACGAGGAGGGGGAGGAGAAGAAGGGGGAGGAAGGGAGGAGGAGGAGGAGGAGGCGGAGGAGGAGGAGGGGGAGGAGGAGGAGGAGGGGGAGGAGGAGGAGGAGGAAGAGGAGGAGGAGGCAGACCCGTCCAGACGTCCCCACGGGCGGCTCCACCGAGCCCCTTCGCGAGGGGTCGGCGGAGACATCGCGCCCAAGACAAGCACGACGACACCCAGCAGGGCGACGACGGGCCCCCCAACGTGGCCCCCGACAGACCCACAGGGAGGGCCCAAGGAGGCCTGAGGCCCCAAAAGAGGCCCCCGGAGAAGCTTTCGGTATGCCTTCGACGGGGCGGAGGAGGGGGAGGGAGGAGAAGAGGAAAGAGAACGGAGAAGAACGAGGCTTTGGACAGAACACCGGCAGGCCAGCACGTCGCATAAGAGTGAGGCGGACGACGGTATGCCGAAAGGCGGCAAGCACGTGTCCTGCATATGAGCGAGCCGGTTCCAAAAATGATAAACAACAGCCAGATTCGGGCCCAATCAAACTTACATCAATCGAGAACAGGAAAAAAACTACGACCCAAAGCCATATAATCAAAAAACAACCAAACACGAAAACAACAACAAATGCCTTGCGCGTAGTAGAATCCTACCAGAGCCGTGTAACATGCGCGGGCCCACATATTTGTATACTTTACCGTTGGACGCACTAATGCCAACATGATGCGCTGTTAATTGAACTGACGTCCAGTATAGTGAGTTAGAGGCCCTCGCAGAGTAGGACAAAGAATAAGCGGTCAAGACCCGCATCAGCTCTGACAGGGCACCGAGCTGGAGCGCGTCTCAAATTCAACCTCCTTCCTGCTGCGCTGGTGCGCGGACATGGTGGCAAGTTGTTACGCAGGCAGCTGGATAGCAGTAGGGCTAGAACCATCAGCGTCGCCGTAGATTGGCAGGGTAAGATATCGAACGGGATGCTGTTGTCTGCGTTCGGCACACCCAGGTGCGATCCATAGAACACCCGCCTCGCTTCACGTCGCACGATGATACTTGAGAAAACATGTTACCTGCCAGACGGTACGAACACGCCGCTCCGTGGCGCATACCCTTGGCGTCCACCGTCGTGGCGGGCAGAGTTGCAAGAGAAGCCCCCCCCTCGCGCCACCATCCAAAGAGTTTACTCGAAGTCTCGAACATGATGCCATGCTGCCAGATTTACGTGATGCCAAAAGTTGGCACAATCAACGACGCAATCCGCGTGACCGCGGCCACACTTCACCCTAAGCTACCCGAGCTTCAAGACTGCCCCGACTAAGCAAACCCAAATGGAGCCCGTTCACTTCGAAAACACAACTTGACTAATCACGGAAGACTATGGCATAACATCCGCGAAAGCATGGTGTACTCGCTGGTGCGGTAAAGGGGGAGCTACCCCCTAGACCCTGGCATAGCAAAAGAGATAGAACACACAACGAGACGGGTGGCATACTTGACTTGCCTCCTTACACCCTGTCTGTGTGTCCCCCATTCCGCATGCCCCCCCCATTTACCTCGTTCCCTATCATATTGTCATGAGGGAGCAAAATGTACCGATTGCAAGACGAAGCCCAGATCCCCTAGAGTGACGCTACGGATGCCAGACCTCCCAGCCTGCCCTCCCCGCTGCCGTTCTGGCTCTGACGGGAACTTCGGCCCCGTTTGATGCACCAAGACGTGATGCACGAGCTGGTACCGAGAAGTGCGCCCCTCAGATACTCCAAATCTCCTGATAGCGGGGGGTGGGGCAAAAAAGTATGTGACATCGCGTCTGGGACCCTCGAGACCCCAAAGAATCTTGTTTGACGAGGCAGTTAGACCTCCCATACAAATAGATCACCACCACTATTATGAGCTCCAGAGTATCTCGTGCTCTGCAGGAGTCTCGCCAGAACTGGTGGTGTGACGGAGCTGGCATCGGCCCCCGCGCTGGAGGCGCCGGCGCACCGGTCGCAGTGGAGCGAGTTCACAGACATCACACAGAAGGCACATCGACGATCTACGAGAAGACATGGTCCGACGACGAGCTACGAGAAAACATGGTCCTGCGTCCTTACCGCGCGTCCTTAGTCGGGTTTTTGACTGTAGCAAGAGAAGAAAGTCGGGGGATCCGCCGACACCTTCCTCACGAGCAGACCCGTGCGCCCGCCGGGTGGCGCGCGGGGCCTCGCGGTCTGGCTCGCGCGCCGGCGGGCCCGCGCGCACATCGACGAGAAAATCTGGTGGGTGGTCACATCGACGATCCACGAGAAAACATGGTTCGAGAGGAGACCCGCTGGAGTCGGCCGGCGCCTGCAGCCAGGCCGCGAGACGGCACCGTGGGATATGAAGACGGGCTGGATGGAGAAGCAGAGGGCAAGCTTGCGGCCCCCTTCGCAGGACGCCCTGCTGGAAAGGGGGCGAATACTGCTAGGTGCGCTCCGTCGCCCAGCATCACGGGTTCATCGATCGAGGAGCTGCGACGCTGCGTGCGCCGCTTGAGGATCTGGTCCGAGGTGGCGATCGGGCTGCCGGAGGATCGGAGGGGCCACCGCACGTGCTGCCGGATCTTGGACGGAGGCGACGACCGAATCCAGAGCATCGTGGAAGGCCTGGACCGGGAGGACCTCGGGGGCACGGACGGCGTGGAGACGATCGTCGGGGCCCTGGAGGCCGAGACCCTGCCCGAGCACGCGCACGAGAAGTATGTGGAAATCGAGCACGCCTTCCTCGGCACTGAGAGGACAAGGAACGAGACGCTGCGGCAGCACTCGACGAGGATCAAGAAGGCCTTCGAGCGGCCCAGGAAGCTGCAGGTCACCCTCGACGACGTGCAGGGCTGCTTCCTAATGCGCCAGGCGAAGCTGGAACACGCGGAGCGAATGGCGGTGATCTTGCAGACCTCAGGATGGCGCTGAAGGACCTTCGCGACGACAGCTACCTAGAGAACACGACGAGGAACTACTGAGGCGACGGCGGAGGCGGACGACCAGCCAAGGCGTTCCAGGTGGACGAGGAACAGCCGCTGCTGGTACTCGAGGGGTCAGAGCCTACCGCCGAGGAAGACATCATCGATGAGGATGAGGCGTACGCGCTGCTGGCGGCGTGGCAAGCTGGACCAGGAGGCCGAGGCACTTGGCAGGAAAGCGGTCGTGTCGTGAGGGAGCGGAAGCAGTCTCGTGGGTTTGGTGAGGTGGCGCCCGCGCAGGGCAGAGGAGGCGGTCGTGACACGGGCGGCGCAAAAGCTACCGCGAGGAGGCGAACCGCGCCGTGCTCGCTGCGACGACCGCAGGCGAGCCTGGCCACCGGAAGCGGGAGCGCCGCGAGCCGCAGAGGCCGAGGACGGCAGGAGCTCGGGCCACGGCAGCCCTCGGCACCGAGGGGACGGACGTCTACAAGCTTGAGGTCGGGCGTGTCCCCCTACAGGCGGGCTTGGGGCGAAAAACTAAAAGTACTCCTATTAATACCCCGACATAGTCAAACAATAATCAAAAAATTGTCCCCGGACTA